TGGGTGAACGTGCCACTAAGATGATGGGTGCGATGGGTGAACGTGCCACTAAGATGATGGGTGAACGTGTCACTAAGATGATGGGTGAACGTGCCACTAAGATGATGGGTGAACGTGCCACTAAGATGATGGGTGCGATGGGTGAACGTGCCACTAAGATGATGGGTGAACGTGCCACTAGATGATGGGTGAACGTGCCTAAGATGATGGGTGCGATGGGTGAACGTGCCACTAAGATGATGGGTGAACGTGTCACTAAGATGATGGGTGCGATGGGTGAACGTGTCACTAAGATGATGGTGCGATGGGTGAACGTGCCACTAAGATGATGGGTGAACGTGTCACTAAGATGATGGGTGCGATGGGTGAACGTGCCACTAAGATGATGGGTGAACGTGTCACTAAGATGATGGGTGAACGTGCCACTAAGATGATGGGTGCGATGGGTGAACGTGCCACTAAGATGATGGGTGAACGTGCCACTAAGATGATGGGTGTGAAAAGTGTCACTAAGATGATGGGTGCGATGGGTGAACGTGTCACTAAGATGATGGGTGCGATGGGTGAACGTGCCACTAAGATGATGGGGCGATGGGTGAACGTGCCACTAAGATGATGGGTGAACGTGTCACTAAGATGATGGGTGCGATGGGTGAACGTGCCACTAAGATGATGGGTGAACGTGTCACTAAGATGATGGGTGCGATGGGTGAACGTGCCACTAAGATGATGGTGAAAAGTGTCACTAAGATGATGGGTGCGATGGGTGAATGTGTCACTAAGATGATGGGGTAATGGGTGAACGTGCCACTAAGATGATGGGGTAATGGGTGAACGTGCCACTAAGATGATGGGGTAATGGGTGAACGTGTCACTAAGATGATGGGTGCGATGGGTGAACGTGCCACTAAGATGATGGGGTAATGGGTGAACGTGTCACTAAGATGATGGGTGCGATGGGTGAACGTGCCACTAAGATGATGGGGTAATGGGTGAACGTGTCACTAAGATGGGTGCGATGGGTGAACGTGTCACTAAGATGATGGGGTAATGGGTGAACGTGCCACTAAGATGATGGGGTAATGGGTGAACGTGCCACTAAGATGATGGGGTAATGGGTGAACGTGTCACTAAGATGATGGGTGCGATGGGTGAACGTGCCACTAAGATGATGGGGTAATGGGTGAACGTGTCACTAAGATGATGGGTGCGATGGGTGAACGTGTCACTAAGATGATGGGGTAATGGGTGAACGTGCCACTAAGATGATGGGGTAATGGGTGAACGTGCCACTAAGATGATGGGGTAATGGGTGAACGTGCCACTAAGATGATGGGTGAACGTTTCACTAAGATGATGGGGTAATGGGTGAACGTGCCACTAAGATGATGGGTGAACGTGCCACTAAGATGATGGGTGCGATGGGTGAACGTGTCACTAAGATGATGGGGCGATGGGCAAATGTGCCACTAAGATGATGGGTGCGATGGGTGAACGTGTCACTAAGATGATGGGGCGATGGGTGAACGTGTCACTAAGATGATGGGGCGATGGGTGAACGTACACTAAGATGATGGGGCGATGGTGAACGTGTCACTAAGATAATGGGGCGTGGGTGAACGTGTCACTAAGATGATGGGGCGATGGTGTGAACGTGTCACTAAGATGATGGGGCGATGGGTGAACGTGTCACTAAGATGATGGGGCGATGGGTGAACGTACCACTAAGATGATGGGGCGATGGGTGAACGTGTCACTAAGATGATGGGGCGATGGGTGAACGTGTCACTAAGATGATGGGGCGATGGGTGAACGTGTCACTAAGATGATGGGGCGATGGGCAAATGTGCCACTAAGATGATGGGTGCGATGGGTGAACGTGTCACTAAGATGATGGGGCGATGGGTGAACGTGTCACTAAGATGATGGGGCGATGGGTGAACGTACCACTAAGATGATGGGGCGATGGGTGAACGTGTCACTAAGATGATGGGGCGATGGGTGAACGTGTCACTAAGATGATGGGGCGATGGGTGAACGTGTCACTAAGATGATGGGGCGATGGGTGAACGTGTCACTAAGATGATGGGGCGATGGGTGAACGTGTCACTAAGATGATGGGGCGATGGGTGAACGTGTCACTAAGATGATGGGGCCATGGGTGAACGTACACTAAGATGATGGGGCGATGGGGTGAACGTGTCACTAAGATGATGGGGGCGATGGGTGAACGTGTCACTAAGATGATGGGGCGATGGTGTGAACGTGTCACTAAGATGATGAGGCGATGGGTGAACGTGTCACTAAGATGATGGGGCGATGGGTGAACGTACCACTAAGATGATGGGGCGATGGGTGAACGTGTCACTAAGATGATGGGGCGATGGGTGAACGTGTCACTAAGATGATGGGGCGATGGGTGAACGTGTCACTAAGATGATGGGGCGATGGGTGAACGTGTCACTAAGATGATGGGGCGATGGGTGAACGTACCACTAAGGTGATGGGGCGATGGGTGAACGTGTCACTAAGATGATGGGGCGATGGGTGAACGTACCACTAAGATGATGGGGCGATGGGTGAACGTGTCACTAAGATGATGGGGCGATGGGTGAACGTGTCACTAAGATGATGGGGCTATGGGTGAACGTGTCACTAAGATGATGGGGCGATGGGTGAACGTGTCACTAAGATGATGGGGCGATGGGTGAACGTGTCACTAAGATGATGGGGCGATGGGTGAACGTACCACTAAGATGATGGGGCGATGGGTGAACGTGTCACTAAGATGATGGGGCGATGGGTGAAGTGTCACTAAGATGATGGGGCGATGGGTGAACGTGTAACTAAGATGATGGGGCGATGGGTGAACGTGTCACTAAGATGATGGGGCGATGGAGTGAACGTGTCACTAAGATGATGGGGCGATGGGTGACGTGCCACTAAGATGATGGGGCGATGGGTGAACGTGTCACTAAGATGATGGGGCGATGGGTGAACGTGTCACTAAGATGATGGGGCGATGGGGTGAACGTGTAACTAAGATGATGGGGCGATGGGTGAACGTGTCACTAAGATGATGGGGCGATGGGTGAACGTGTCACTAAGATGATGGGGCGATGGGTGAACGTGTCACTAAGATGATGGGGCGATGGGTGAACGTGTAACTAAGATGATGGGGCGATGGGTGAACGTGTCACTAAGATGATGGGGCGATGGATGAACGTGTCACTAAGATGATGGGGCGATGGGTGAACGTGCCACTAAGATGATGGGTGAACGTGCCACTAAGATGACGGGTGAACGTGTCACTAAGATGATGGGTGAACGTGTCACTAAGATGATGGGTGAACGTGTCACTAAGATGATGGGTGAACGTGCCACTAAGATGATGGGTGAACGTGCCACTAAGATGA